GTAATAACAGATAACACTTCTCTCTATCACAAATAAGAATGCAAAACATGTAATCATATTGACTTACCTCACAACAGATGTTTTGCACTGATCCTCTATGTTATAATTCCTTCCTTTAGGCTACATGTTTGACGGGACCCGCGAGGCACCGATTCAGTACTGGTCGGGATTAATAAACGGCAAAGGACGACATAACAATAAAGCACCCACGCCGGGTCAGCTGTCACAAGAAAGTTATCATTTAGTGCCCGCGATTTTTTACGTTCAGCGGTTTTAAGTTACTATAAAACAATGCAATTTCTATCCTTAATTTGCTCTTTTATTTTATAAAAGTCCCCACAAAGTAAAAATATATTTGTAAAAATACTTTAAAAGAGTTTTTAGCATATATATATGTAAGATTCAAGAGAAACGGACCGTGCATGTAAAAACAAACCGTCGATGCGATTAAAAGGTCACAACTACAACATTTTCGACTATATTTGCAGTGTTTGAAGTCTGTATTGTGTTTAAAAACTACTATCTACAATGATTTTCTCCTTTATATTATTTTCCGTGAGAGATAATAAAAGCTCCATTAGTTTCTCTTAACGTATATCAATAATATGTGGGGATATAGTGAGGAGAATCTAACATTAGATCACAAGCTATCACTTCTCAAAGAATAAGCATTAAATTGTAGCTTTGGGGATATTGTGCGATCAAAATAGAAGACAAGAGCAACTGAGAGCCATTTTTGAGGCAATAAAGCACTAAAACATCTCACAATAGTAAGACAAAATGCTCAAAGTAGAGTATTGAATGTCGAGTGTTGTATTTACACGAACGACCTCACGCAAACCAAAATCACTTATATTTTTACCTTTCCTTCGATCRCCGAAGCATTTGTTGTCCAGACTTTACTTCGATTGAAAGTTTGGCCCTTTTGTTCGGCTATTTCTTCAAGATAATRTTACTCTGTTGTATCCAAAATATGCTCTAACATCGCTGGTATAGATACGGGTGATCAGAGATCGATCGGAATGCAGCCGTTCTCTTGTTGAGTACATGCAAAACTAAACACAATATCTCTCTGTAATTAAGATATCGAAAAAATCAAAAAAGATACGAACCTTACCTTAGTATTAAAGAAAMAGATTCGATACATTTCGAATAAATATACGTTGTAATAAAAAAGTTTATTGAAGCCGAAAATGTACAATTTCAAGCGATATCGTACGGGCTTCATTATTCCTTATTTATATGCCGTACAAATCATTGTTAATCTAGAAAACATAGCAGTATTTGGTATCAAAATCTAGCTTATTGACTCCACTACTTGGATCTGCCCATTGAAACACAAAGCAAGCAATCCCTAACGGCATTGCGAGCCATTTATATACCCTTCCAAAATAGTTCCCAGTCCCTTGAAATTTAACTCGGTTTTGGCTAAAGAATGTGGCTTCAATTACGTGATCAAAAAGTCGGGACAGCTGACCCGGCGTGACCGTTAAGTGTGTTCACCGTAAAACAAGGAAAGAAATATGTATTACATATGATTAACACTGGTTTGGCTTATTCTTACAGGTTAGTGCCTTTATATNTTTTTTTTGGCGACAGACTTATCCGTAGTTCTGAACATTTTCTCAATGTCAACAATGAATTATTCTAGCAAACCCGCGTGTTCCGGACAATATATGGATATGGATATTATGATATTTAGATATTTAGACAATTCTCATAATTTTTGCAAAAGGCTGTATATAGCTTAAAAGCTATATATAACCATCCATCCGTTCTTATTTGGGGTCGTCAAAAACTTAATCCTTGAAGAACGAGAACTATAATTATTGCAGTTTCAATGACCCTTTTACCGATCCTAAAGTTGTAATACTAATTTTCGTGTCAATATCTATCAATCCGTCATTATCTTGATTGGGGAGGTCAAAACTCAACTCCACGAAAAAAGAACTATAATTACTGAAGTTTCAATGGCTCTTATACCGATCTTAGCCGTACACTACCCAATCATTGGCATCTGCTCTAGAATTTGTATATGTTACAGAATATATTACCAACCACAATTATTGTTATTGAGGTTGTCCTAAGAATGATCTCTGCGAAACAGAGAATAGGATCATTGTRATTTAAGATTCTTGGAACAATACGAATTCATTTTGTATATTTTCTCTCAAACTTTCAGATGTTRCAGCAGATATTACTTTCTATAATGATCTTTATTGGAGTGGTCCTAACACCGATCCCTGCGGTACAAGGCAAGAAATCTTTATATATTGGAGCATTCTTTGGTGTGAATGTATCTGATGGAGGTTGGAGCTCACAAGCTTTGATCTACTCGCTTGAATTGGCTTTACATCATATAAATAACGATAGTACAATACTGAAGGATTATCGACTGTGGTATGAATGGCGAGATTCAATGGTGAGTTGAAATAGTRATATGAACTTGATGGTCGATTCTATTAAAATGAAATTTACTAAAGAACCTAATACTATAAACTATAAATTCATTATTAAAGTAACCAGCGCTATAAGCATGAAATCCCAGTTTGACCTGTTTGAGTTAAACTARTACTGAATAAGAGAGAAGACTTCTTTTAGTCATGTTTGGAGGCGCTCAAATTTTCCGAGAGAGGACTTATGTGTTACCTCATGCCGTCCCTTAAGCAAATCTAGTCAGAATGATGATAAGGTAAAATTTTTTGCAGTGCGAAAGCGGCGAGTCAATCCGTGCTTTGCTCAACTTGATTGATCACGACCCACATAAGATAGCGTTCCTTGGTCCAGGCTGCTCAGTGGCTGCAAGACCAGTAGCCGACTCTACAAGATATTTCAAATCTGTTCAAGTAAGTGTCGAACTCGAAAAATCTTAATCATAAAGCACTGGAGTACAAACGCTAAAGGTTGGAAAGAATAATAAAGATGAATACTGTTGAACTTTATACCTGTGTTCTGATTTGAAAATCGATCGACTAAAACTGCAACGACAAGCTTGATAATCATTGGTTTTGCAAAACTACTCTTCTTAAACTCGTTTCAAACGTCGCACATCACAGTTGTATAAAAAGATAAATTTAGCGCCAAAAGTAGGTGAAACAACTTACTGACGTTTCGGACGTGAATTAATTCTTCGTCGGAGTATTAAAGACGTCGGACCTCACATTATTATATCATTTAYAAATCAACACATGTAAGATTCGACCTATATAACCATTACTTTTTTTTGCTAGGTAGGGTATAGCATTACATCGCCAATATTTACAAACATAGCTAAGTTTCCATACGTGTTCCGCACTGCGCCTTCAGAAGCGATGGAAAACCCAGCAAGAGTTTCTATCCTGAAGCATTTCAATTGGAGAAAAGTAGCCGTGGTCACTCAGTTAATGGACATATACACAATGGTAAGATATATCAAAACAAATATAGGTGGATCCGGGGGGGGAAGAGGGGTTGGGGGGGTGGGAATCCTGGTTAAACTACCGGGGTTGCTCGTCGGATCTCTTAGGGGTAAACATTCGTGATTGGAATATTTTAGGGTGCCAATTTGGAGTTTATGGAAATTTGCATTTTCTGTAATCTCTTAGGGTGTCAGAAAAGAAAAGAAAGAGCACATCGACATTGATTTTCCTCTGCGTTTTGTTTTGTCATTATATATTTTGATACATTTAATCATTGGAACAATTTTTAATTTAACAGTATTTGTTGTACAATCTCTTATTGGTTAAATCAGTCAGCCACGCCCTTTTTAAAGACTTCCGGAATCTTTTAGGGGTCTTTTTGAAAATCCGAGTTTATACTCCTTCTTCACAGCTTACACTTTTGCCAGGCTCCCTGTCCCTCACAATATAATAGTGAATATAGTGGTAATATTATTATGATAATAATATATCTTTCTAAATTGTTATTTCCTTATGATAATAATATATCTTTCTAAATTGTTATTTCCTCTCAGACAAGAGAAAATCTACTTGGTTTGTTAGCGATTGAAAACATTACTCTTATCACATCGGAGGGATTTCGAGACGATCCGCTTCAATTAATCAAACTGCTTAAGGTAAMYAGAAACGCCAAACTTATRATAAACTRAAAAAGTTTGTCAATTAAAGARTGTCCAGTTTTGTTSCCYAAAGCAAARGRWTTTTKRYMARGSWTTTTKSCMMWWT